GGGACCAAGATTGGGCACAGAAGGGAAAAACAGAGTTGGCTCAAATCCAAACTATTTAACAGCTGTAGTAAACTTGAAGGAAGTGTTCTGTTGTGTTAACTATTTTATTAAGGCCCCAATCCTTCATCTTGTAAACAGCTCATTTGTCAACAACTTTCACATCTGAAAGGGTGGTGGTGATAGCTGTCATTTTCCTTATTCTGTCATAGAGTGGCTACCGCTTCAAATTTTTTAAAGTAAATTTATTTTCCCCAGTAATATAGCAAAACTGAACAAGAAAAAAATTAAACTCCTAATATTTAATTGACGAAAGGCTATCAAACCTAGAATCTGATTTCAAAACAATTTCCAAATCCGAACACACACCACAACCCCCCCTGTAAAAAGAACACTCCCACAAGGTGCAGTGAGAGAGAACCGGCTAGCTTTTTTTTTGGTTTCTGGTGTTGTTTTTTTTTAAATTAATTTTACAGCTATAATTACACCCCCCCCACACACATTTGCTAATCAGTCCTGGAATCCCAATTGTGGGAAGTCAAAAAGGTCAAATACATTTAGTTTTCAACTTCAAAGTGGGTATAATCACAAAGGCTTGGGAGGAAGGACCTGATGGACAATCAGTGAATCCAGAACCTGAGCCTAAGGCTGCAGCAGAGTGCTCTGGCTGCTCTGACTGCCCATTTACATTCATAGTAGACAAACACGTCCCAGGGAGACTCAGAAACCAAGCTTGTACAAAATATGTTTACAGTCCTTAAATATGATCTGAGTGTCTAAAAGTATTAAAGTCTCATATAAATAATATTTAGATTATTATAAACACACTCCTTTAATTATACCTCAACTAAGGAAAAAACACAGCATATTTGTTCCAATGAGTTTACATTCAATTAAAATAATTGCTATTTATATTACAACTTTAAAACACAACCACAACATTCATTAGACTCTTGAACTAACATTCAAGTTCAGATATTTCCTAAGACATGCACTTCTTGTTTTATCTACTCTGGTAATTGGTTTAATGCCTTATCTTGTATCAGAAGAAGTCCTAAAACATAAGAAAGTATATTCACATTTTTGAAACCAAGCAGAGTAAACAAAGTGCTAAAATAGGCTTCCTTCAGCTAATCTAATCTGCAGAAACAAAGCACTGGAAGCAGAGTTTTCCTTACACTCCCCACTTTTTGGTTGCTGGCTGCCTGGTTTATCAATATCAAAAAACCTTTGAAAACCTAACAAATACACAGAGAAAGTTTTAAAGTTTTCAACAGTTCTTGAAAATATTTGTCATGATGTGCTGAGATGATGACACGCCTAATTAAACAGTGAATTGTTTATTCACTCACAGAAGCGTGACTTAAAAAGTGTATTTCAACCAACTCCTCTCAAAAATGACCAACCCAACTGTTCGCTCAGGCTGTTGGCAGCTACAATCAGAAAAACAGAGAAACACAACTCTGAATACCGGTTATTCAAAAAACCCTCACTTTCGGAGCTTTCGGGGTATGAAGTTAAGCTTCAGGAAGAGTAAGGAAAAAAAAAAACCAACAGTGTACTAGTCAATAAAAAAATTACAGAGTCAAATTTGTGTAGAGTTTACTAAAAATCAGTAGTAAATTTAAAGGGGTTTTTCTGTTCTTAGTTTTGACATTTTATCTTTCTCAAAATAAACATGCAAAACCACTTAAGATGTACATTCATTCTCTCTGAAGCTATTTCCTCCTTGAGATTTTATCACAGTAGAAATATGCTTACTGGCTGAGAGAGTAAAAGATTAAGCAACGCACAAGTCTAGGAGGGAAGAGAGCACCCAAGTCGATCTATGAAGTTGCAAATAAATGCAACTAAAATTAAAACTAAGCAATGCTAGTGATAGAGTCAAAATAGTTTTGTTTTACAGGCTGCTGATTTAGGGAAAAAAGTGCTCACCCAGGGGCAAATACTTGTGTTATTATTAACCAAAACACCATAACATGCAGATACACACAAATATTTGAGTAGCCAATAAAAAGCACTTAAGAAACAAACTGAAGCAGCTTAGTAGGAAAATACAAATATAAGATTAGAAGACAGCTGGTGTTTAAAATTAAATACACTAAATACTTAATGTTTCAAGAAATCCTAAACTACCTTCAGAAGCAAACCCACGGTTTTGTTTACAAAGGAATTGTTTCCTACCCTCCCCACCCTCAAATACAGAGGTGACGCACAAGTATAAAACTGGAGATGCAAAAGTAGTGCAAAGTGCTTGTCCAAATAATGACCAACTAAATAGGTGGGGAAACAGCAAAATAATTTTTTAAGAGCTTGACTGACCAGCAAGGACACAATGGTGCTTTAAAAATCCATTAAAGGCTACTGTGTGTACTAAAAAATTAAATGACATCCACTGCTTTCAAGTAGGAAGAAGTCTCCCCATGGCAGCAAACACCAGCAGAGTACATGTCTGAAGAGAGAGATAGATAGTTCCAGGATTAAGAAACCAAAACACAACATCTCTCGGTTTAAATAGTGTATTTCACCAATAATTTCAAATTTTTTTTAATCAACGTTGCTCAAACCCTTGAGAAGTGTCATCTTATAAAAACAAATATCCAGAAATGCAGAACTGGTTACAAGTGAGAGGTAGCTCATTAGTGGCTCGTGTTACACAGAATATTCGAAGTCTGAAGTACTGCTCCTGACAGAACCGTAACATGCTTGACTTGTATATGCTTCTGTCTCAAAATCTGACATGCCAAAGTACAGCATGAGAGCAAACACATTTGTAGGATATCACTTATGAATTGGCTTCCTTGTCATTCAGGTGTCCATGAGATCAGCTTCCTCTTTGCTACACAAAAAGCCCGAATATATTCACGTACTTCTGTATAAATCATATCGTGCTACTCTATATGATGAGCTAAAAGACACCTACAGCAGTATCCAAAACATCTAATACACCTGAGCTTCAAAAGTTAAACCGTCAGTTACGCTGCAGTAAGTGAAGTGCTTTGCTGTTAAGCAGGGAGAAGTAGAAATGAAAGAGAAGGCAATAGAAGATATGGTATTTATTCTTCTTCTCTGTAACATACCAAAAACATTAGCTTAATTTCTTGGAAATTGTGAGATGGATGAGCCTAGTTACTGGCATTATAAACAAACACAACTTCTGCTATGAAAATAAAATTACTATCAGTAAAAAAAAAAAGCACACCAAAAATTTCTCAGGAAATCGAAAAACACTGAAGGAAACTTTGCTTGACCCAAAATATTGGATTATTATCCCTGCTACAAATACAACTCTTTGTTCTATTTACCAGTTCAGTAGACAACTGCTATTTTCTCTTGTCTCTCTTCTTGCTATTTCCAAATCCCTTCACTGTTACTTAGACACAGAAAGGCACAAGCACACCCTTAGAACTGAGGAGACTTGTCTTCTTACTTTCTTGTTGGGATAACTTTAAGAAAAGCTAGCACATACACAAAAACATTTTCACTGTTCACATTGTCAGGCTGCCAAGAGAGACTGCATAATCTTAGAAGTTTTCATGATTTGACAGAACAAAGCCCTGGACAACCCCATCTGAATTCAGTGTTGGGACTGTTTTCCACAGGAATCTGTACCAGATGACTTCCTAAGGTCCTATCTGAATTATTCTATGAATGTGCAGCCCTAAGCTCCTTCCGAAAGTTTCTGTACACAGCTCTACAACAGCACATCAGCAGTTGTGTTGGCTACAATTCCTGTATGACAAGCACCAGCATTCTCCTTACATTTAATTCTTCTTTCCAATTGCCTTTCTACATCCCTCTATTACTTTCTCTTAAATTCTGTAAGCTCTTTGGAGTTTCCCTTTGTTTTTCATTTGCACATCTAGCACTTGGAGCCTTGCATTTGTGGTTAAGACTTCTAGAAAATAGAGAAATAGAAATAAAATCAAAACTAAAGTAAAAAACAAGAAAATGACTGAATATCACATGCAGGCTTAAGGACTATTTAAAAAGTAAGATACAGATGAGTGACGATACACTTAGTTAGGAAAAACAAATGGAAAGATGCAATTGACCTAATGCAATTGACCCAATAAATATGGCAGGTCTATACAGCCTTCCCCTATTATTGTAATGTACTAGTGAATAAATTCTGATTGTAGGAGAATGTGGAAGGGAAAAAAAAAAACCACCAAACCTGTTGAATTTTTAAGAGACTGCCTAGATTTATACTGCTGAAAGGAAGGAAAGGAATAATTTCAAATCACTACTTCTCAAAAGGTATATATGACAAGAGAAACAACCATCAGATTTTACTGAAGGGAAAAATATTTTTGCTAAACTGAGTATCTATTTAATGCAGATATACTCTTAGCCACTAGTTATTCTTTGCCAAGACAAACACAGGCATAAACCACATACTAACTCTCAAAATAACTTCAGCCATACCTTTAACCTGACATGCCAAGATAGAAAAAGCAGACAGAGCTGCCTCCATCACTTCCCAGCTAGCTGTTTCTCACTGGCAAACTATTCTTTTCACTATTTTCCTCCTGAGATAAAGCCTGTTCGTAGTTCTGCAGGTGTGCCATGGACATTGGTCTGCTGTGGTAACAAACACCACAGAACTGAAGAAACAGGAGTTGGCAGAGGCAGAAATCCAGCACGAGAAGAAATATTTTTATTGGCATGTACATCAAAAGAGCTGAAGTTCAAAGCAGCAAAGTTAAAAAAAAACAAACCCCAGCCGCCTTTCAGTTAGTTCTCAGTCACTGCATTGGACTGTTCATTAAAATTAATAATATGGCATAGATTCTAACACCGTGCACCAGCTGACAAGCAAATTAGAACATCTGATGAATGTGTCAAACCCCTGTACTTCGAAGTGACAACATAAATGCCAGTAACTGAGGTTTTGGGGGTATTTTTTTCCTGTCTAAATTTTAAAGAGAAAAAAAACACTGGGGGCAGGAGAAACATGCCATGTGAACAACTCTCCCCCCTCCAATTCCCAGGTCACTTACTAGGTCACTTCGGGGTGCTTCCTGATAGTCTGCTGAAAAGCAGGACATGGAACTTCTGGTGCCATTGCTCTCACTGGCTTGCCGTGGAGGCTGTGCGTACTGCCTGTACGTTGCACTCTTTGGGGTCCAGCGAAACAGGTTGATGGACTCACGAACACAACGCTCAATGTCAATCTCTGATCAGGAATTTAAAGAAAAAACAAGAAATGCAGTCATGAAAAATCAGCAAAGCCAATTAATCTAGCTATGATACTGCTAAATATACATATATCTATTTACACGTTTGTCTCTCCACCGCCTTAAAAGGCACATAGTTTTCAAAAACATTCTCCCATTCAAGAAAACACTTAGAAATTTTTTATGAAAAACTAGCAAAGACGTTTTGAGCATTAAATTTATTCCTAGTTATGTATGGAAATACAGCAAGCTGTTTAAAGAGAAGTGTTTAATCAATGCAAAGATGAGAATATAATCGAAGCCCGGTTATTGTAAGGCATCTTCATTAAGTGTCTTTACAAGTCAGACTGCTGACTCTTTTAAATGTACATATATGCAGTATATCAAAAGTACAGTTCATGCACTGTATGGACATCAGGATTTCGGGGTCAACTGAGTGTCTTATTTGCCAGTTAAAAGTTAAATACTGCTGTGAGCCACACCGAAAGCTTTCAGTGAAGTTTTGTGTGGCCTGCCATTTTGACAAAGCTACATGTTACCTGTTTGATGGAAAACAGAGACAGTAATTTGTGCTTGATGGCAAGTGCGATGGATTTTAGAGTCCAAAACCCAACTAGACATTCACAGTGAAACATTCTGGCTGAGAGAGTTAAGCGGTAGTGTGTGTGGCCAGAGTTCTCAACTTGGGAGGAAAGCAGACACCCATCAAACAGGAAGCATCCTAAAATAAGCTGTGCTCAAATAAAAGTTACTGAAACATAAATGAAACACATATGCAAAGGAGAAAAAAAGAGTAAACCTGTTACAAATATAATTTTTTCAAGACTAAGCATCCTGCATGTATCTGTCTTATAACAAGATGTAAAATAAAAATAATTTACTTTTCTATCACCATAAAAAGACTGGTTAGTTTTGCATCTCCTGTCTGCAGTCTCGTGAAGAGAAAAATATATTCTAGCTTGATTTTTACAACAAACCTAGTATAGTGCATCAGACAACAAATGGGTATATTAGCACTTCTTTCTTGTGCCTGTCCCAAGCACCTTGGATGATTCATTACAACACTCATAACTTAGAAGATTGAAGCATCAGCTTCTATGAAGAAAACAGAGGCACTGTAGCCAAGCCTCACCTGTACATCTGAAACAGATTTGATGCACTGTCATCAATCAGGGACTTACTTCAGTTACTCAGTCATTTAGTAGGGTGGTGAGTGGAAGAAGAGGAAGATTGGGGCAGAATATTCCAGCTGGATAAGATTATTCACTTGGTATCATTCATTCAGATTTTAAACAATCTATTTACCTCCCATTCAAAAAGCTGTCCATATTCAGTTAGGATACAGCCTGCAGTATATGCTTTAATTCCATTGAAGATAAGATGATTGTGTGCTATCTTGCTTCTGGAATTCTGAAAAAAGTGGGACTGAAGCTATGGTTTACCTAATTTTATTTCTAGCTCTAAAACCTTTTTATGGATGTGAAAGTAAATCACAATTTTCGTTATCCATATCAGGTTCCTTAACTACTTGGGATAATACTTGCCAAAGATAAATGGACAATATGGTGTCTCAACAGTAACTAACAATTTTTCTTTGTGATGAAATATTAGATTTTTCATCCTGAATATACTGCAATGGAAGGTTGTTATTTAGTTTAATTCCCAAGGAAAATCCACGAAACTATAAAATTTTGCACAATTTCTAAATTCAGGTAAAGGCAGCAGATGCCTTTCACTGGCTATTATTCCTAGAGCTCAGAATACACGCCAAAGCATGGGTCATTAGTCACACTTTCTCTACATTTCTGAAGACTCAATTTATAGAAAGTTGAGAATTTCAGTTCAAAACTGTAGTCCATTTATGGTTTGTTTTTTTTTTTTTTTTTTTTTTTTTTTTCCCCCTGTAAAGAGACTGCTATAACTGTGAGTTAGTCCTGTCTCCTGAGATTTTTAGCTAAGGAAGCATTAGCAATACTTTTGTAGTAAGTGGGATGAAAACAGAATATAGCCAGTAAAAAAAAAAAATAAAAAAATCTGAACAACAATAACTAATAGCATGAGAAATGTTTGGTTGAGAAGGCATAATAACCTACAAATATCTGAAATTGAAAACAGAGAACTGGGGGATGGAATAGGAACGCTATATGCAGTATAAAGTAATGGAAAAGCTGAAAGCAGAAATAGAGATTGACAGAGTTAAGCCTTGAGACAGACTACAAAAATATTTTTCTTAGGAACAAGCTCATTAATTCCAAAAGGAATTTATTTAAAGAAGTGGAAAATGCAGCAATGAGTTTCTCTAAAAATGATAACCAGTTCTCACACATCAGGATGTAAGTAAAAAATTTAGGAGTCCGTTATTCTGTGATTCTTGGCTGTTTGGTTGCTCATTTGTTCTAAGCAGCATTTCAGGACAGTGGCCATACCTGAAAAATGAAATTCCATGAAACAAGAGGGAATTTTGAATGGTTTGAGAGGGAGCCAACAAAAGCCTAACACCAATTTACAGTCTGCTGATTAATTAATCTGCTTCGAAGCAATGCAAAATAAAAATATAACAAGTAGATTGTGGTTTCCACAAAGAATAAATGTATGCACATAGTTACATGTACGCATATATACAGGAACGGTCAAGTTTTATCACCCACAAGGGAGACACGACTACTGGTAGTGAAAGAATTTACCCACTTTCTTTTTTTTAAAAAAAAACAAGTAGTTTCAGGATACTGGAATTTAAAGACAAAGTTAAACTTGTGTAAAGATTTACAGAACATTTGTTAGTCACATCGCATGAACAAGCTTCACACTTCAGCAACCTTCAAGCCCATCTTCAGCCTTTGCTTAAAATTTTGGTTTAAGAAAAATCACTTCCTGTCAATAACTAAAATGCAATGCAATCTTTTGCAGCCTTGCTGGATAAGATCTTTTCTACTCCCTCTGGCTAATAAGTAAGGGTTTGCTGTGCTACTTCAATTCTGATTTCTTCCCATGCCCTTTCAAACATATGACAAATGAGTCAGTCTCCAATTAAATGTCCCTCTTTTGTTATCTCACCGAGACTTTGTATTCACACCATATTAATTCTGCTCATACTCTTCCTGCTCTGAAGTAACTGTGTTACAAGCTATAAAAACACAAATGTGTTTTACACATTATTAAAAACATACTGTTGTGTACCAGGAGTGTAAACACATTAAACTAGTGCCTAGATTCTTGAGCAGGACTACGAACAAATGAACAGAGTACCTCACCAGCATGCCAGACTACTTGTCATGTGCAAACGACTTAGAACATCCTCCTGAGAGCAGGCTCTGCATAAATCTCAAGGCATCAGCAAGAAGCAAACAGAAATATTTCGAAAGGACAGGCAGGGCCTGCTCACTCATGGAGAAGCACATATAACATCACTGTGCTCTCCAAGGTCCCAACCCTGGGGTGTTTTGTAGTTCAAAAAGCACGTGCCTCTGGTTTTAATCAATACAAATTATTTTGCTGGAAAATCTAGAACAAAAATGTGCTGACGTAACATGGTGTCATTAACTGTTAAGTGCGCACTAAAACAAACGCAAACCTAACTTTAAACATAATATAAACACTATAAAAATAAATTCTCATTTCAAGATTTAGTACATCTTCAAGCAGTCTGGTTTTCAAAAAGCACAAAGTACCTCCATTTCAAAAAGCCACAGTTGGCATCCAAGTACCTAGGAACTAAAAATCACAGGTTTCATTTTAAAACATTGGTTTTAGGAGTTCTGGCTCAACTAAACTTAAGTATTTCAGTCAAGCAACAATCAAGCCTTACGGGGAACAATTCTATGGCATCAGCTAATTACTCCATTACTTGGCATCAAAAGACTTTTCCTGAGATTTCTAAATATGCAAATAATATGGGAATTGAAAAAGGCAGGGGTGGGGAAACAAACAACAAGTAATCTAACAGCAATATCCTGGGTTTTGCCATAGCCCCATGCCAATATTAAGCCTACTGAAGTATTTTGCTCCTTTTCTGAACTAAACCTCCTAATTGCTCTAAGGTGCTACTCATTTTCATCTCTTCATGCTAAACTTTCACTCCCTACCAAGCTGCTGCTTCCTTCTGTCAAGAGCCTCAACTGAAAAGGGCAGCCCAGCCTGACATAACTGCTTTTTAAGCTACATATATTTGGTGTTTATTACTATATATAGATACAGGAGAGAATTATACCACACTTGAACCAAATGTTAAAAAGAAAGCATCGGTTTAAAGGCAATTCACCTGTGGCAAAAGCACAAAGAATCTTTTATTTTCACAGAAAAACTGGATGTGCATACATTGTTCACAGCAAGTGAAAGAAAGTAATGGAGAAAAACCTATCATGAATCGTTCTTTCTTAATGAAAATGTACACAAACCAAGTCTTTGTGAGCAGTTAATCAATTCCAGAGCCCCTTCCTTGGGTAACAGGACACCACTTAAGAAGTTTGGCCAAAATAAACTGCTTCTGCATTTTGAAAACAGCTCAGAATTATGGGCTTGGTTTGACCTCTCCATCACAAATACTTCATTACTACCCTGCCAGGCAACATCAGCTTTCACCACACAGCCACATAAATAGGCCAGAAAACCTCTGTGCTATAAAAGCAGAGAAGGTGAACAGGTCAGTCAGTTCGATCTCACGATTCCTGCTCTCAGAAGAAACAGAGGTGAAAGGTCACGAGCATTTTCTTTTCTGATGACATAAAAAAAGATACACTAAGCCAACATATTTAAAAGGACAATTCTAGGAAGAGAAGTGACATTACTATTCAACCTCTCTATTACTGCTAAAAGGTTACTATAAATGAAAAGGTCAATGCAAAATTATTCTTTAAATATAAATTATTTCATACATCATAGGATAGTTGCGTTATTTCGTTGTTTTATGGATAGTAAATTGCTCTTACACACATCAGCAACCCTTTCAGTGCATCCTGCTACAAAATTTCAAAGGCAACATAAATATCAGTCATTAATTTTC